GTGCTTAAATATGTTCTGTTTCCATTATCCAAAGTAAACACATACAAAAAACAAAGAAAAAAAAAAAGCATGGCTTTATGTTGAGACAAATGCGCCAGTATGGTGGTTTCTTCAAATGGTTTTCTCAAAACCTAACACTGAAAAGCACCTTGGTAGAGTTTTACTCATTGTCTCATCACTCAGTATAAATGTTGCAATGAGAAAACAATAAATATTTTCTGTATTATTTATTTTATTTACAGAATATCAACCTTTTTCCAAGTACTTTTAACAATAATAAAGAAAAAAAGATGGCATCCCTAAAGAATAGCAAAAACACAAATCTTCAAAGCTCAAAGGTTTTGCATGATAAATGTCTTACAGTGGCCTGAGGCTTTACACCAGGCTTTGAATATTTAAACATATTTCATTTTCAGGAGGTAAATTTGAATTGTTTGAGGAATTATCGCTCCTGTAGCAATGATGGCTTTTAAGCAAATTAACTGATATAGTAAAATAAATATCCTGTCTTCTCATTTAATAAGCACCATCACATATCCAATATTGATTTGATTTATTTATTTAACAGGAAAAGATTATTAAAAATCAAGCCTGACTCAGCAAAATTGCTGTTTTACAGCAGGTTCCTGTTCTGCAGCACATAAAACACTCAGAATTACAGCATCACAATCAAATCTTTATTATTACGCCATAGACACAAAGACAAACAAGCATACCAAATTTCAAAAAGGCAGCATTTGCAAAATCGACGTCTAAATATGAGCACAACAAAAAGTGTACAGCAGATGGCAGACACGATTCATGGTTGAGAGTAAAATGGCATGAAGATAGATATTTGAAACAGAAGATGTCAGATAATTTTTGAATAAACGTATAATTTCTGTTTCAACTTAGTGGTTAAGACATGTATGTGATCACGATAAGTCAAATGAGAATCCAAAGTAATTCCAAGATATTTGTAGGTAGTGACAATATCAAGGGGTTTGTTTAAAAAAGTGAATTGATTTGTTATATTGAAATGTCTCCTGGGTGAGGAAAAATACATGCACACAGTTTTTTTAACATTAATTGACAAAAGATTATCTTGAAGCCAACAATGAAATGTCTGAATATCTGCTTGTAACTGACTATTAATAGATTCACTATTAAAATCAGACAAAAAAGAACAGGATCATCAGCATACATTAAAATATTTGAATACTTCAATATTTTTGGAAGGTCATTTATGTATTAATAGGAAAAACAATGGGCCCTGTATGCTACCCTGCGGAACTCCCAAGGAACAGGGCAGAGACCCGGACACAGAGCTTCCATGTTTCACAACCTGACACCTTTCAGTTAAATAAGAGGAAAACATTTGTATTGCAGATGATGAAAGTTGAAAAGAAATCAACTTTTGTRAGAGAGTATAATGATCAACTCTGTCAAACGCTTTACGAAAATCAATATATACATCACCAGTTACTTGACCTTTGTTCAAAGCAGCATGTATTTTGTTCAGTGAATAAAATTAATGCAGACATGTTTGACCTTGACGTGCAGAAACCATGTTGGCTATTTCTTAGCATATTATTAGCTTCTAGATGCTGAAGTAGTTGATTAAATAATGTTTTTTCAAGTAACTTAGAAAAAATAGGAAGAACGGAAA